TAGGCAAAATGAAAATATTTGTGTCTTTATATCAATAAAATATAAAAAGTTATAAAATTTTGCAAGACTTTTGATTAAAGGACAATTAAAAAAGTTTGTTTACACGACCTCTTTCTCATAAGGCCCAATTACATTAAATTTAAACTTAGTTTTGCATTGAAAAATCAATATATATAAAAAGTATCAATTTGATTTTTTTGTTATGTAACTAAATAATTGAACTATCTTTTGGATTAATTACCGGTTTTCCTTGATCTTATATTTTTCAAATCTTAGACGCAATCGTGTACAGAATTTACATCATTCAGTTATTATTGAAAACTGATTTAATTTCCCGGTACTCTACATAACAAAGGATATCAGTTAGAACGCCACCTTTAGTACAACAAGTAAATAACAACATACATACACATGTGTGTTGGTGTTGACATGTGTACTGGTGCTTACGCTCCGATTTGTTAAGTATGGTTTATTTTAATAATTTTTTTTAAAAATAAAAAGTCCAGAATTGTTTTATACTAATTTAACAGTCTTATTTTCAGACCTATTTAATGTTCCATGTACGATGTTGATTTATGAATTATGAAGCCCAGCGGACGAAATAGTTGTTCAAAGTCACTCCATATTGAATTACAGGGCTTAGAAGTGCTCAAACAAGCTGACTATTCCAACTCCAAAGAATTAAATAATATTACTCAGGCCACCACGAAAACAGAGTTAGTGTTGAACTTTACGCTATTATCTTTGAATAGGCACAGTTAGTTACTATTACGATAAATCATTATTAATATTTTATAGATTTATTGATTTAAAGTTGGTGATATTATTGCTAAACAAGTCGCTTATGCAGTTTAATGGTACAATGTCTACCTTCAGCATAATATTATGTAATTATTTGATACTAATAATTTATAAATTACCATCAATAATGAGGAGAAATATGGATCGAATAAGACAACTATGGGAATGGAGCAATCATAATTATTAGCAGAACAAAAGATCGAAAAAATTAAAGCGTAAAAGGTATTTACCATTCTATTATTCATTTCAAATAATTTAAAGTTATAAAATCATATATAAGGTGAATATTTACGATGCTTCGAGTATATAAAAGGGTTTTAATTTTATTATTTATTCCCAACAAATAATTATTAAAAT